GGCGGAGGGAGGGAGGAAGGGAGGGAGGGGCGGCGCTCGGCCCCGGAGCGGCCAGAATCCCCTTGGCTGGGAGGAGGCGCTTACTCCGAGGAAGAAGCGTCGCCGGATTGGGGCGACCAGCTTTCGGAAAGCAAGCGAGGAGGAAGGGGCCGCTCGGACAGACCTCCCTTGGAAAGACCGATCAGCCAAAGTGCTGAGACAGCGCGCGGCTGCAATAGAAAAGGCCGACGCTAGGCTGGGGATGATTAGAAAGGGAATGGAGAACAAACCCGCCAGTCTCACGATGCCCCTGCTGCATGAATCCATGGTGCGGCCTCATTCGCAGCACTGTGTACAGTTCCGGACACCAGACCTCAAGAAGGATATTGTAGCATTGGGGAAAGTGCAGAAGAGGGCAACTCCAATGATCAAAGGGTTGGAACACTTTCCTATGAAGACAGGTTAAAGCGCTTGGGGCTCTTTAGCTTGGAGAAACGACGACTGAGGGGTGACATGATCGAGGTTTATAAGGTTATGCATTGGAAAGAGCAGGTAGAGAAAGAGGTCCGTTTCTCCCTTTCTCACCATACAAGAACTCGTGGGCACTCCATGAAATTGCTGAGCGGTGGGGTTAGAACTGATCAAAGGAAGTACTTCTTCACCCAAAGAGGACTGGATGGGCCACTGGCCTGATCCAACATTGGCATCTCTTATGTTCTTATGTCTGGGGCAAGTGATGCCCTGTCTTCTTGGTGCTTGGGGGGGGGCAACAGTGGGAGGGCTTCTGGAGTCCTGGCCCTGCTGGTGGACCTCCTGATGGCACCTGGTATTTCTGGCCACTGTGTGACACAGAGTGTTGGACTGGATGGGCCACTGGTCTGATCCAACATTGGCTTCTCTGATGTTCTTATAAGACCCTTTCGGATTGCAGCTGTGCGAACTGCTACAAAGAAGGAATATGCCCAACCTTCCAGCCCCAAAAGAGGGTCTTTGCATCAGTTTTTTTTTTTTAAAAAAAGCCCAAAAGAAGACTGACACACAAAAAAAGGAGGACACCTGGTCACCGTAGCGAAGTCCCTGCAATTCCCCAGGTGCAAACACATTTTGTGAAACTGCACATCAGAATTCAAAAACCCTCCAGGAGAAGATTATGGCGCCCGGGGTTCTTGTATGCCCCAAAAGAGGAAGGTGCCCCGGGGCTGCTGAGACATGGGAGAAACCTCCTTGGCATCTCTGGCAACCAGATCCGGAGCTCAAAAGGTTCGGACACCTTTATCTGCTGGGACTAGGTGGCAACTGCCTGGGTTGCCAGATTTGGGGGCCAGGGGGCTGCGGAGAGCATGGCTTGTAATGATGATGGATCACATTTCGATATTAAAAGCAAAACACGAGGAGGAAATTTGCACAGAAACTTTTGGTTCAGCAATGGACGACTTTTATTGGTTTTTGGAACCAGAGGCAGGGAAACAGGGACGGTGGAGAGTTCACACATGGGAAGAACTGATCATACAGAAAGATGAACCGTTATTTTGTTTTGGAAAAAAAGTATAAATGATGGATGTTAACTATTCATTATTTGTGAGCTTTCAATGTAAGCTTTGTAAACTTATATTTTTTTTAAAAAAACACCCTCCCCCCCAAGGATGTCCTTGCCTTAACTTAATGGCTGTCTCTCCTATGGAGATTAAGGGGATGGAGGGGGGCAGGACTCCCCCCCCCCCCCCGTCCAGCTTGGGGCTCATTGCGGA